CTCAGCGGTTAGAGCATCGGACTGCGGTCCAGAGACACCTGGCTTCGGTTCCCACTAGGGGCACGTACCTCGTTTGCAGTTTGTCCCCGACCCTGGTTGGTCATGTGGGTGGCAGCCACTCGATGTGTCCCTTCACGTCGATGTTTCTTTCTCTCTCTCCCTCCCACTCTGTCTGAACAAAAAATGGAAAAATGTCCTCGGGTGAGGATTAACAAAAAACAAAAAAACTTGGAGCTGTGATGCTGTTTTGTTTGGGGCTCCATTATCTAGTAGTCTTCATTTCAAAAATTGAAATGACGGTGTTATAGTGAATGCAAAAGTAGTATTTTATATGATTAATGTATTTATATGTAAAACATGTATTGGTCTGTTCTATCTGTTCAACTAATATAAATAATGTTAATTTTAAAACTTATTTATTGAATTCATATTAATGAAAAAATACATTAATTGTCCTTAAGCTACTTTAAAGGGAAAATCTTTTACCTTGCTTCTGGATGTATTTAGCTATCTCACACCTCTCCCAAATAAAGCACCCACAAAGGCAAAATGAAGTCCAGCAAAGCTTGTGACTATTTTCCAGTTATCCCTACGCTGATTTCTAACTGTTCTTGCTCCAATTTCACCCCATCTTGTAGCTGGTAATTAACAGCAAGGACAACCAAACTGCTTGCTTTTATTAACCTGATTTCATAACTTAGTAGCTGTGTGATTTTGGGGAAGTTACTTGACGCCTCAGTGGCTCATTTCATGAGCTGTAAATAGGTTAATAATACTATTCTCTCATAGGGTTGTGTGTTAAGTTAATGCACATAAAGCACTTAGAACAGTGCCTGGCACCAAGTGCTATGTGGATGTTAGCGTCACTTGAACTTTTGGCTTTCCATCGTAATCCAATTCTCCTGTTTTATGCTGATTTTGATGGGGTACACTTGGTTTCTCTGGTGCTTGAACCTCAGATTTCCCATGAAAACTCCCTCTTGGCCGTGCTTCCTGCCATTTCAGGCAGGACCTGTGCATACATGTCCCTGTGTAGTCCTCTCCACCCCTTACCTCCCCGAATGCCCAGTCTTCACATAGTTAACACCTTTTGCCTTTTATATCTCACTTCAAACAATTGTGCTTTGGGGGAAGACTTCCCTGGCCCTCACTGGCTTGAATAAGTGCCTCATGATTTATGTAGTCCTATATCCCTTTAATTTTCCTTTATAGCACTCATCAGACTTTATAGCTATGTAGTTACATGAACATTGAATAAGTATGTATCCTCTACTAAAATGTCAGCTCCTTGAATACAGGGTCAAAATACATTTTGTTCATCATTATATCCTAATCACTATAGTGTTTTGCCTAAAGTATGTATAAAATACTTGTTAAAGAAATGAATAAATTGCCTGGCCAGTGTGGCTCAGTGTTTGAGCAGCAACCCATGCACCAAGAGGCCGCTGGTTCAATTCTCAGTCAGGACACATGCCCAGGTTGTGGGCCAAATCCCCAGTGGGGGCATGCAGGAGGCAGCCAATTGATGTTCTCGTTCTTTGATGTTTCTAACTCTCTCTACCTTCATCTCTCTCTAAAATCAATAAAGAAAAAAAAAGAAATGAATAAATTATTTCCAGAGATAAGTCCTAGGGTTCAACATAAATAAACATGATTTGCCCAAGCTTATACCACTATAAATATCAGAATTGTAAGTAGAATTCAGTTCTTCTGACTCAAAGTCCCCCATTATTTCTGTAATTAAATCTTCAATTACACAAATACAAATTATCATGCAGTTTCTATTGTGTAGGTTCTAGAATAAAAGTAGAAATCAGAAAGTACTGGTAGTCTGGGGGAATTGGACATCCCTAAGCAACAGACTTTTACAATATGAAGTAGGAGTTAGGCTGGGGTCAAGAAAGAGTTGGGCAGAGTGCCAGGTAGAAAGAACCATTTAGACAGTGGTCCAATGATGAGAAAAGCTCGGTGAATGTGACCAGACCACTGTGACTGCAACTAGTGCAAACAGGACTCGTAAGAGGGAGGCTGAGGTTTAATCAGAGGCAGGGCCAAACCTACTGTACCAAGGAAAGAATTTTATTTCTTAACTAAGAGAAGAAAAAGCCACTGAAGGGTTTAAGTGGGGATAACACAGTCACTGCTCTATGCGGGATGGTGGTAAAGAGCAGCCTTAGCAATGAGTTGGATCTGAGGGTCCAGAAAGAAATGTGATAGATGACACTCAGGTATCTGGTGTGATTACCAGGGAGGATTGTAGTATCATTTACAGGGAAAAGGCCATTAGTAGATAGACCAAGAGTTTAATTTTATGTGTGTAATAGCTCTCAATAAATAGTGATAATTATTGTTTTTGCAGTTGTTTTTACTGATGACTGAAAACCACTTGCTGCGATTAAGGGTGATGGTGATTTTTAGGTGTTGCTCCCACTGTGTGCACAAGTACTTCCAGACTTGAGGTTTGGAAAGAGAAGTCACCTAAGGGACTAAGAATGCAACTGAGCCTCAACATGAAAAAGCCCTTTCTAACTTCAATTTGATTTCTATGGTAGGCTTAATATAACATGTGAGGGACACGTGAATAAATACCATTCATTTTTCTTTAATTTCCTTCTTCTTTTCCCATGAATCAATAAAGTTTAGCTATGATAATACGACCATGGCCAACCGGTCTGTCATGACTAATAGGAGACATCAATGCTCTATGTGGAGATCAAACCTATAGAATTAGCCGTTGTTGGCCCGGGCTAAATAATGGATGAGCATAGACAGCTCAAAGGATTTTCCTAGAAATTGGGTAAGGGGATCGTAAGCAAAGATATCAAGAAGTGTGCTTAAATCTTTGATCTTGCAAAAAGTATTTCATACCTTATTTTATGATTTAGATTCTATTTATATCTTATTTTGCCCCATTTAACAATCTGTTATATTTATATATACTGTTTACACATAGTGAAAAAAACAAACAAACCAGCCCTGGCTGGTTTGACTCAGCAGTTAGAGGTCAGCCTGTGGGGTGTGATTCCCAGTCAAGGGCACGTACCTGGGTTGTGGGTTCAATCTCCAGCCTGGTCAGGGTTGTGTGGAAGGTAACCAATTGATGTGTCTCTCTCACATTGATATTTATTTCTCTCTTTCTCTCCCTCCTTCCCTCCCTCCCTTCTACTCTATCTGAAAAAAAAAATCAATGGAAAAATATTCTCAGATGAGCATTAACACACAAAAAAGAAAGGAAGGAAGGAAGGAAGGAAGGAAGGAAGGAAGGAAGGAAGGAAGGAAGGAAGGAAGAAAGAAAGAAAGAAAGAAAGAAAGAAAGAAAGAAAGAAAGAAAGAAAGAAAGAAAGAAAGAAGAATTAGCTGTCAGTATTGCCTATGCAAGGCCATTTCATTTCCCTTCCAGGAGCCAGCAGTACAGCATATGAGAAGGTTGCTAAGCCTTCGCCCTGTGGCTCAAGACAAACGCCTCTGTCCCCTAGAGATGCCAGGGAAGCAAAGACCACACATCAGGGTTAGCCACATGATGTCGATGAGAACCCTTGCTATCACTGTCCTGATCATTCTAGTGAAGAAGTGCTGAAGCATATGAGGTGGACGGCAAATGTATCTAATATACCAAAAAGCATGTTTACGTCAGAAGCTGTGAGCCCTGAGTTGAGGAATTTTACAGTACTGAATCTACATGCCAAGTGGGTGTTTTACAGCCAGACATCTATGAAAGAGAGGCACCAAGGGCAGGCAGACCTCACACACAGATAATGGGCATCATTTAAACACACTCGCGATTAAGGAATGCCGTACAAACACACATTATCAGCATACAAAGAGATGTTAAAGAAGAAAGAGGGATATTTTAACCTACATTCTGAATAAATTTAACATGTATTTCATTTATATTAGAATACTTATAGAGGTTCTTGAGGTATTTTAATATATTTTTAAACTTATACCTTTACTATCATATTTATTAAACTAAGCAAAGCATCTCACATTTATTTTCACTTTTTAAATTTAAATAAGCACATACACAGAGCTTTAAAATGAGCATGCCTTCTTTACTGCTGTGGGTAATTGGTAATCCTGCCTAACCTGGTATACTCCAGCAAGATCTCAAGTGCCCCAATTCCATACAGTGAAACAAGCCAGTGCAGTCACCTGAGCATTTGCATCCACTCCTAATTATAGTAACAAGCCCTTCTTTGAAGTAACTTCAGAGTTTTAGCTTTATGACACTTGTTGAAAATCAGACATTTTGCTTACTATCTAAAAATTCTGAAGAGGAAAATTTTTGTCTTCACATTGTTAGTGATCAGAAGCATGGCTCTGAAAATCTGAGTATTCAAACCAGATCTCCACCACTTACTAGCTATGTAACCATCTAATCTGTCTGTGTCTTAGCTTTCAACATGAATCTCAGATGCTCATCCATCAAACAGGACAACGTAGCACCTACCTCAAAGACTTGTGTTAAATGCCTCATTACATGTAAAGGACTCAGAACTGTGTCTGGCACATATAAGTTCCCCCAAAATGTAAGCTATCATGATTATCATCACCTTCTAAAATAGAATCATTCATTTTGAGTTTTGGACACTGGGAAAAAGAGTCTACAAAATACATATTTAACTTTTTCCTCTGTATTCTTAGACCTTAGTTTTATCAGAAGCATCAATCTTTCTTATTTTCCATTCAATTAGTTTTTTTTAGTCCTGTGATTCTCAAACTTTTCTTTTACATAGGTACCTTTATAATGTATTCAAACATTCCATGAACTTCTATATGATATAATATATAATTTTAGAATCCTTTGATTAAGAAAATACATATAAGCAGAGGGATTTACGGACCCCACTGAAATAAGTCCATAGCCCCTCCAGGGTCTAAGGCTTATTGGTTAGGAACCATAGCTTTAATCAATAATTAATATATTTAGATGAAATCTAATTCAGGTTCTTTTTTTAAAAAAAAACCTCGTGGGTCATAGCTCTTTTAGCTTCTCTTACCTCGCCCATGACTGCTATGGGTGTTTCTCCTGTTGCCTGAGCAACACGATGTTCTACTAAGTAGAACATATACTCGTCGTAGAGTAGACGGATCAGGTGGAAGGAGCCAAAGCTAGCAGCACTGCGTAAGGTTAAGTCCCGAATAACCATTGAGCTGTTCCAAGAGAAAAGAGAGATGCAGCTGATGTTAGTGACCAGGATTAGAGTTCAACCTCCTTTTCCTCTTAAAGGAAGTCAAGCTGGAGGTCTGAAAGGCTGGTATGGCATGCAAGTGACCATGCGATAACTTCATGATTGAAAGCAGTTGGCTCAACTCTTTGAAACTGGGTGGTGAAAGAGGTAGTCCTTACTGACACTTGTTTAGATCTTTATTAGAGCTCAACAGGTCTTTATGGAAGAAGCCATTTTACTATCATAGGCAAGTCTGCTGATTCCACTAAACTCCCATATGTGTGAGAATTGAATATAAAATATTTTTGAAAGGTTGACAATTCATCACCACCATAAGGAAAAGCCTCTCAAAGTGAAAATCTTGTTGAGGGGTAAACATTGTGTTTCCACTTCTCAATGACAGTGACTTTGATGCACACTTTGGGAAAAGATGTATTTGTGCCATACAAAGCTTACAAAATATACTAAGCAATGTTCTCAGATGCGGCACTGTAGAATGTAGGTGACCTGTACAGGGATCTGTGCGAGTTGGGTTTGAAGGCAAATTTACTGTGACTCCAGTTCCTTACTGATTTCTTAAATTAAGGAGATTTTCCATGAGAAGTGTAATAAAATCAATAAAGAGATGTATGTCATTGAAAAATGTGAATGTTTAATTTTTAAATACCAAAATATGAACAATATTAACAACATACTAATAATAAACTCCACTATATTTAAAATGTAAATAAGTCCAAAATAAAATTTTGGCTTCACTGAGAATAAGCCAATCATTACCCTGTCAAACCTCTTTCATATTTTTAACTTAGAATCAGAGTGGGCATGTGTGGGGTGCCTCAGTGTGTGTGTGTGTGTGTGTGTGTGTGTGTGTGTGTTTAATCCCTTTTATTTAGTGGTCTTCCCTGGAGATTTTTGGCCTGGGAAAACTAAACAGCCATTATATTCTCAGATAGGAGGAAGCGATAGAATGTCATAAAGTTTAGGCTGATATTCCTAAGCCTCAGTTTGCAGTGAGGAATTATAAACTGTCAAGCAGATGAAAGAACAGAAGACTATACTTCTGTTTTCTGTTTCAATGTCAATATTATTTATATAGATGCTACTAATATATCAAATTCCATATATTCAACTTGGAAAATGTCAAATCATCATTGTCTATCTTAAACTCTGAAGCCCTGGATTCTGATTCTGCCTCATCACCCCACAGATGTCAAATAAATCATTTCCCTGAGACTGTTTATACTGTTGGGTGAAAATGAAAGCAACATTTTTGGGTCTTACCTAACTTATGATTACTTCAAGGATGTGAAATACACTTATGAATAAGTAGAACACTATTTAAACATAAGTGATTGTGATTATAATATTCAGAACATGAGAAGCTGAGCTTCTCATTCTCATTTGGTTATGGCCGCAAGAACAGGGGGTTACTATATGATGACAGAGGACCTCTCATTGGTAAATCTATTTAATAAAAAGAAAAGCTGGGGTTGGAGTTAGACCCTTGTTAACCATGATGTGATCTTGATTGTGAGCATGTCATTCAACATTTTAAGGTTCAAGGTTAGCCTGAGGGTCAAATGAGATAATGTGTGTGAGATCTTAAGCAAACTACCCATTACTACACTACTACATATATCAGAGTTAATATTATCATAGACAGTAGTTCTAGTGAATGATACATTAGACTCAAATACCTTAGTTAATGCCTTAAGTTTAGAACTCTATAAGTAAATAACTAAAAATAGATTAAGACTTTCATTTATATGCCAAAGATATATGACAACATTCTGTTTATATGCATACCTTTCTTAAAATTCAGTGACAGCCCTGGCCAGTTTGGCTCAGTGGTTAGAGCATCGGCCCGCAGACCAATGAGCTGTGGGTTCGAGTCCAGTCAAGGGCACGTACCTCGGTTGCAGTTTATCCCCAGCCCTGGTCGGGTTGTTTGGGAGGCAACTAGTTGATGCATCTCTCTCACATCAATGTCTCTCTCTCTGCTTCTCTCTCTCTTCCTCTCTCTCCCTCCCTCCCACTCTATCTGATGTTAAACAGAAAAATATCCTGATATGAAGTAAATAATTTAAAAAATTAAATAATGCAGGAACATCTTATTCACACTTGAGTGCATCTTTTTTGCTGAAGAAAGACATCAAATATTTTAAATACAGCCTAGAGAAGACAAATACCTAAGAAACATACAAAATAAGATGCTCAACGTCATTAACCACCAGAGAAATGCAAAATAAAATCACAATGAGATATTATCTCACATCTGTCAGAATGGCTACCGCCAATAAATTAACAAACAAATGCTGGTGAGGACGTGGAGAAAAGGAAACCCTTGTGCACTGTTGCTGGGAATGCAGATTGGTGCGGTCACTGTAGAAAGCAGTATGGAGTTACCTCAAACAATTAAAAATGGAACTTGCCTTATGACCCAGTGATTCCACTTCTGGCAATATATCCAAATAAACCCGAAACACTAATTCAAGAGAATACATGCACCCCTATGCTCATTGCAGCGTTATTTACAATAGCCAAGATTGGAAGCAGCTCAAATGTCTGTCAGTAGGTGAGTGGATAAAAAAGCTGAGGTACATTTATACAATGGAATACTACTTGAAAGTAAAAAGAAGGAACTCTTACCCATTGCAACAGTATGGAGGGACCTGGAGTATTATGCTAAGTGAAATAAACCAGTCAGAGAAAGACAAGTACCATATGATTTCACTTATATATGTGGAATATAATGAACAAAATAAACAAACAAACAAAATAGAAACAAACTCATGGATACAGAGAACAGAGTGACAGATGTCAGACGGGAGGGGTGTTGTGGTCTGGATGAAAAAGATGAAGGGATTAAGCAACCCCCCCAAAAAAACTCATAGACACAGACAACAGTATGGTGGTTACCAGAGGGAAAGAGGGGGGTGTGAGGGGAGGTGGAAGAGGGTAAAGGGGGGATAAATGGTGATGGAAGGACACTTGACTTGGGGTAGTAAACACACAATACAACACACAGATGATGTATTATAGAATTGTACACCCAAAACCTATAAGTTTTATTAACCAATGTCACCCCAATAAATACATTTTAAAAATATGACTAATCTTATTCATAATTAAAAGAAATGCAAATTAAAGTAATCATCTATTATTATTTATATCAGCTATTTTACTGTAAAAGATTCAGTATTGCAGAGGGTATGGCAAAATAACTCCTATGAACTATTTCTACAAGTATAAATTCATGAAACGTTTATGACAATAAACGGAAATTTTAAATGCATAAATCCTTTGACATAGCAATTCATATTCTAGAAATTTACACAAATGAGCAAAGATAGTTTTTAACTGCATGCAGTATTTATACTTGAGAAAGACCATTGTGAAAAACTAAATATCCATTAGTAGGTTGCTGTTTAAACAAATTATGGTTCATTCACATATGGACTTGTATGCAATAGTTTAAGGAAATGAGTTAGGTAAACATAAAGGTAGCCACATGTAAAGATGTCTATAATATAATAGCAAGTTAAAGAAGTAAAATGTATGAGCCCATTTAACAATATAAACCTATACATACAGTGTTTTTAAATCTTACTCCTAAACAAAAAGGAATGTTTAATACTTTATTAGTGTTGGGATAGGACAATTCATTAAAACAGTATTAGTCACTTTAAAAAGTTCAAACCCTCCTACCAGAATTTATCTGAGGATATGTATATAATTTTATACAAACATATTCATTACAGTATTTTCATAATTGTATCACAACACCAAAAACTACTTAAATGTTCAAGAATAAAAGAAAAGGGAATATTTAAATAATTTATAAGACATATACATAATGGAATACTATTAGAACATTAAAATTATGTTTCTAAAGATATTAGTGACAAGAAATGCTGAAGATATAATGTTAAATGAAAAATGTTAAGGAAAACATACAGGTAATAAACTGTGATAAACAACTGGATTCCAATTTTATATAACACTAAAATAAAACATTTTACCAGCGGTTACTTCTGGGTGGTAAAGTTATGAATGATTTAAAGTCATTTTAGGCCTTTATAGTTCCCTTAATCTAGTGGTTCTCAACCTTCCTAATGCCGCGACCCTTTAATACAGTTCCTCATGTTGTGGTGACCCCCAACCATAAAGTTATTTTCGTTGCTACTTCATAACTGTAATTTTGCTACTGCTATGTCTTAGGCGACCCCTGTGAAAGGGTTGTTCGACCCCCAAAGGGGCCGCGGCCCACAGTTTGAGAACCGCTGCCTTAAAATATAATAACCCTGAAATCATGTAAATGACTGAGGAGAATATTCATATTGATTAGCTCTCTAATATTAAAAGAAATGCAAAGTCAATTATTTTTCCAGGAAAATTCATATTCATTCAATACATATTTACTTGTTTCTACTCTGTGCCAGGGCCCTGTTCTAGAACAAGATAGAAAAAAAATTCATTTTAACAGAGCTCACATTCGGGTAGGAGAGAAGGTCAATGAAAACACAAGTAGATATAAAATATAAAGTTAGGTACTGTACTGACGATCCTATGAAAACATTCAATCAGTGTAATAGGTTGGAGAGGCAAGGGGGCAGGCGTTTTCAGTCAGGGAGGCAGGGCAATTCTTTCTGAGGAGGTGATATTTAGGCAGACACTGGACTGACGTGAGGGATTGAGCATGTGAATAGGCGAGCTTTCCTAGACCTAGAGGAACAGAGAGCAAATGCAAAGACTTTGGGGCAAAACTGTGTTTGATGTGTTCAAGGAACAGCCAGGAGAGGCTAGTGCTGCCGGAGGACAAAGAGGAGGACAAGGACACACGCGTGTCTGCAGGTCACTAGTAGTTCTCAGTAACATCAACTTCTGTTGGAAATGAAAAAACAAACAAACAAACAAAATCTGCTCCCAGTCAGTTATAATACCTAGTTATCTTTTAAACACTATTTTTTAAAATCATCACCCAAGGTTATATTTTTATTGATTTTAGAGAGAGTAAGGGAAAGAGAGAAGAAATATCAATGAGAGAGAAGCATCGACTGGTTGCCTCTTGAAGGTGCCCAACCAGGGATCAAACTCGCAACCCAGGTATGCGCCCTGACCAGAATTGAACCCGCAAACTTTTGGTAGATAGGACGATGCTCCAATCATCTGAGCCACCTGGCTAGGACAATACCTAGTTATCCTTTAAAAATACTGATAAGCATGCCATGAAATTATTGTCACATGTTTAGAAAAGAATCAGTTGAATTATACTATTAATGCTATATCTACTTTATTCTTTTCTGTGTTGGGCCTCTGCCCTACAAGCCAAGTATTAAATAACACAATTAACAGTTTAATTAGAAACCTATTGTCTGATTCAGACTTCTGTAAGATATGTTGCAAAATTAATTCCATCGACTTTCATGTTGCTAAGTTACCACAAATTCAACTCCTTTTAAAATCAGTAATAAATGCTAATTATTTTATAATGGATGAGAAATACCCTTGTGTATTTATCTTTATAATTCATGGTGTGGAAACTGAAACATTTTCTCTAACACATGATACTCAATCCACCTCTTTGTGTATTTGGGGATATATCACACCATTCCTAAGAATAAAGGTAAGAACATCACACCTCTGACCCCCCACTGTGAACTCTCTTTTCTTTAAATTTTATTTTTATTGATTTTATAGCCAGAGAGGAAGGGAGGAAGGGAGGGAGGGTGAGAGAGGGAGAGAAAGGGAGATATATATATATATATATATATATATATATATAGAGAGAGAGAGAGAGAGAGAGAGAGAGAGAAGGAAGGAAGGAAGGAAGGAAGGAAGGAAGGAAGGAAGGAAGGAAGGAAGGAAGGAAGGAAGGAAGGAAGGAAGGAAGGAAGGAAAGGTCGATTTGCTGTTCCACTTATTTATGAATTCATTCGTTGCTTCTTGTATGTGCCTTGACTGGAGAACAAACCCGCAACCTTGGCATATTGGGATGATGCTCTAACCAAATGAGTTCCCTGGACAGGGCCTGAATTCTCTTTGCAAACAGTGCTTACAGTTGATTCCAAAAGAGTATTATTTTTTGAAAGATTTAGATATTGTCCAATTGTAAGAAAACTAGATTCCCTGTGCCCCCTTTTAAATCACTATAAAAGCTATAAATTTCATCCCTTAAAAATGGGATATTTGGTTGAGCCTCAGGGTGGCCCTGAGTGATGCTGTGTTCTGTTATCCACAAAACGCACAAGCTGAGAAATGGCCCACATAACTTCTCCATGTCTGCCCAAGAAAGACGGTGATTATTTTTTCCCCACCTCCCAGGGAGCTAACAGGAGCCATTCAAAGCCAGGTTAGGCAAGAAGAGACCCTCCATTTGGAAAAGAGAGTGTTTGCAGCAATTCATCGACTGCCAGTTGATATCATGATTCTCTGCCAGTTCATTTCTATATTTGTGTGCATGTAAATAGACACAAAGAATTTTCAGAAATTATGAGATTAACTGACTTCAGAAATGAAGAGTCTGTATAAGTAACTGCCAAATTCTTATTACAATGCCAAAAACATTTAAAAAATACCTGCAACGCTGCTTCCCTGATAGTTTATGAATGCTGCTTTCATTACTCAATATGTTCTTATGCCTCAGTAAAAAAAACGTTCCGATTTTAAAGGCTCTTATGTTTTTAAGCTATTGACTTTGCCTACCAGCAGGAGGTATGCATCTGTCTGAATCTGGCTTTCGCTCTGTGGCCCTGAACTGTACGCCCTCAAGTCTTTTTGAAATGAAAATAATAACCATAGTAGTGTCTAATAATAACAAGCCAATTATCCCTAACTCAGGGAGGACAGAGGGCAGGAGAGTGATGATCTGGGTTTGTATATCTGCGAGAACAAAAAACACAAGTAATTTTCTCTTTTCAACATACCTGCAATAGATCTCTGTGGAGACAAAGGCTCCAGGGGTATATTTCTAAAATGCTAGCAACTAAATATAGTAAAAATAAAAACCTACAGGAAGAAGTAAGGGCAGATCTGACATAACAACCTAAGAAAGCATGGAGAAGGGGGTAACCTTGCTTTTTCTGAGATAGAGGATGCATTCTGCTTTTGGTCATTTGGATTTTGGAACAACCAGGTAGTATAACTTTTGTTTCATCGATCATTCATGAAGTACATATACTATCTATATAATAATTTTCTGGGAAAAGAAATGGATGAATAAAAAAAAAAATCAACTTGCAAGCAAATGGGAAAATACATAAAACCTTCTTAAGAAATATACCCAAAATAAAAGTTTGACTTCTATTACTACTACTTTGAGATCACTGTGATAATGTTTTCTAAATCTTCCCCAGGAAAAGCTTACATTTCTCATTAACACCCAGAAACCACTGGGTCACAGAGTCAGACAGCACCTTCATAAGGTGCTTCTCAGATCGCGTGGGCTACAGGTATTAAATACATGTGAGAAAGAACTGTGGAATTATTTCATTCCAAAAACAAAAACAAAAAACAACAACATAAAACCGACAGGCTTTTTCTTTCACTGCATCTGGAACTTTGCTAGACACCAGAAAACTATTTTCAGGATGTAAGGATAATTTAACTCTTAATTAAACATATATAGTAGAGCTTCAGCTCTGCTTCAGTTTAAGAAATAAGAATTGGACCAAACCGGTAAAGAAAGAAACAAATCACTTACAATAAAAACCAAAGCAACTACCATCATAATTTTAAAATCCCTGGGTCCATTTTATAAAGGTGGTCAAAACAAGATGAAATCCTAGTCGGGGCTTACTGGGTTCATGAGCTCTACTAGTTCCTAAACTCTCTAACATCTTTATATACCTTCTTTCCTCACAACTAGCTTTGGACTCACTGCTGATGCCCCGATGATACTCATGGTGCACCCATGGCCACAGGCAGTGGTGTGTCCTGTGGTCATGACTTTCTGATGTGCACACGGCCACAGAGGATCAGAATTAGGGACTTGCCCAAACCTCAAAGTAGATATGACTTTGAAGCCCAAGCCAACGGGGCCACCTTTATCTAAAGAAGCAAAGACATGAACTCTCACCACAAGAATAAATGCCAGGGTCAAAAATGTAGCATATCCTACTTATGAAATGGAACTCCATCTGTCAGCCCGTCCCAAGTATAGACGGTAGCCTTGCCATCTTAGGCTCTGCTTCAAACCCTTGGGGCAGACCTATGGTCAACAGCTTATCCCAACACTTGATATCATATATCGAGTCATCTGAAAGCCTTTCTCTTCCAGGGTTCTTCTACGTCTGCAAAAATATACATTCATATCTATATTATTTTAGTCAAAAAATTTATTCATTTTGTACTGTCTGCCAGAAGTAAGTTTTTTGTTTCAATCCTCACCAGAGGATATGTTTTATTGATCTTAGAGAGAGAAACATCGATGTGAGAAAAACATCAATCGGTTGCCTCCCGTACACACCCCCACAAGAGATGGAACCCGCAACCTAGGTTTCTGACCTGGAATTGGACCCACAACTTTTTTTGGCATGTGGAACGACTCTCCAACCAACTGAGCCACCTGGCCAGGGACAGAAATAAGTTTTTGAAGACAGAATTTGTGATTTATTCCTAATCATTACTTCCTAAACATCAAGATTTTGATACAGTAGGTTTGGGGAGGTACTTAGGATTTTTTTTTTTACACTAATTCTGATGTGCAGCTAGGTTTGAAAACTGTTATAATAGATCAGATTAAGAAATTAACTAGATGGTTTTGAGCATGCATCAGAATCACCTGGACAACATTTTAAAAAGCTTGGATTCTTGAGCCTTACCTCTGCAGTTTCTGATTTAAACAGACTTGGGGGAGGAACCTGATAATTTGTATTTACAACATGTTTTCAAGCCATAGTGATGCTACTGGTCTCTGAGAATCACTGAACCAGAGAATAAAAAGTGGGGTGGGCGAAGGCCAGAGGGAGAACGGTAGCCCTTTTCTTACTGCTACTGAACACGTTACCTAGACTGGAATCTTGGCTGTTCCTCTCTGAGAAGTCTAGGGCTTGGAGTGAGAGGCGTTCTTTTCCTAGCAGAAAGCTGATTTTCGTAAGCCTCCGGGCAGAATTCCCCAATGTTGTATTCAATGAGTTGGGTTGAAGATAATCGCAACAGGAAGTTTCTGCAAGCTAATGTCTTCGCTTCTTATTTTCTTTTGTCTGAGAAGTGTGTACCTACACACACGTTCGCAGACTATGAAAAAGAAAGCTTAGTGAAAACTGAGAGGATACCTGTAGAAAGACCATTTTAGCAGAAATTGCCGGGCAGCTTTCGGAAAACTGGGCCTTCCTTCGTAGGGCTTCAGGGCTTGCATCATCACGTTGTCCAGCCAGGCAGCCCACTGCTCCAGGGTGCTCTGCTGCTGCAGGGTCATCTTGAAGTCTGTTTCTAGTCTCTGAACCATGTTGTCATCACACTGGCACACCCAGGAAGCCTGCTCCTGGGACAGTACACAGAAAGCAAAGGAAAAGTTCAACTTGACATCTTTTCGGTGAATGGCAGCACACAAACCATATGCGTGAACGGGACACTATAATGGAAGCCTGAAACTCTTTAAATGAATGAAGAAAATGAATGACTACTTACTTGTCAGTTGTTAAGGAAACTACCGTCACCTTTGTGTGTGGACGAGTGACTATGGGACCCAAAAGCATGTGTGGAAGACTAAAACATTCATTACTGAAGAAAAATAAAGCCTGAACTACAGGATGGAAGGTCTTTCACTCTATTCAGTTTTAATGCTGCCTTCAAAAGTTCCCCCGCTTTTCCCCTTCCCAATTAGATACAAATTGAAAGCCAATCCTTTTGAGAAGGTTTAGGGTAAATCAAATGAATAAATAGATTCGATTGGCTAAAAGTGGTCCCTCAGGATTAAAACAGAAACAAACACTGAACAGTACTAGGTAGAAGCTATGCTGTATGAGTTTTATAAGTAGGAAACAAATCTCCAGGGCTGTCAAGGTGAGGCTATGAATGCGAGTGAATTTACAGAACTGAAAACAACAATAACAACAACAAAAATAATTTTGAGAAAATGTAGATATGCTAACTACCAGGAAACTTAGTTGGTGGTAGCAATGAAAACAGGAACTTTGAAGGCTACTTGTCAGTGGTTTCCATACATTTTATAATGTTTCCCGTGCTACAGTGTCTTTTTAAGATTGAAAAAAAAAAACCTATACTCTCAAGGTCAGAATATAATTATTTCATAATATAATATTTGACTGAGAGTAGTAAGATAACATGGCTTTTAATATAGGGTCTGAATCAACTAAACTGACCTCAAGAAATTAATTTAATTTCGGTGGTCTCATTTTCCATAAACATAAATTAGAGAAATGAAAAGTGACAATAATTTTTAAGCCGGGTTCATTGTATCCAGATGATATTTTAAGATAGGTTTCTGTGGAGGGGTGTCTGTGAAGGTCCTAATTCTATACCTAAACCATTCAGAATATGTGCTTATTCTTCTGTAAAGAGCATCTATATCTTTCATTATATCTATTCTCAAAGAATAAGTTCATTCAAACCAACAATTCCAAATGAATAAATCCCTAATCTACATTCTCGGGATCCACCATCTCTCCTGATCATATAAACTTTACCTATTCAAGAGATATTTCAACAGGGAGGCACTTCAAATACAAAATGCCAAATTTCATTCAATTTATTTCCCCAGGTAAACTATAGTTTCTTCTATATTCCCAGCTGATGATACCATACACACTTTCAGATTTTATCTCCTAAATATCACTTTAAAATATTTTAAATACATTAAAATGTGACAATCGAAAATACAAATAATCAAACAGGAACAAAATATTAAGAATATCTGAATGCCAACATAAAGAGATAACTACAACATGTTACTGTTTATATTTTTCAATCTTTTCACATGGAATATGAATATGCATGTATAATATGCATATATGAATATTTAAAATAAAACATTATATGTTACATCCTGCTAGATATTCTGCTTAGTTTCACTTGACTATATATGATAACTATCTTTCTATTTCAGCAAATATAGAGCTATATTTAATGTCCAATGATTAAATTTGCTTCAATGTATAACTATAGCATTATTTACATAACCAATTCCATACAATTAGATATTTCTGTTCATTCCAATTTTTTACTACTAGAAATAATGCCAGAATTAGCAATCTTGTAACTATATCTTGGGTTTCTTTTGCACTTTTTTCTTTATGACAGAACAATAGAAGAAGAATACTTATGATCTTTCAAAATCCACTGTCAAGTAACTCCCAGAAATTTTATATCAATTTGAGTCCAGGAGAATATTCAGGGAAGAATTCAGGCCTTAAGAAAAGGATAGAGGAGGTTGCTTTTGTTTTTTTCAATGATGTCTAGCCATTTTTTATTGTGGTACAAAGAAAAACAAAATTTATCATCTTAACATTTTTTAAGTGTACTGTATAGGAATCTTTACTTATTGTGAAATAGACCTCTAAAATGTTTACATTTTGCAAAAACAAAACCTTATACCCATTATAGGGGACATTATTTTTGTTTGCTTTTGCATTGATAATTGGGAGGAGGAACTTACTGGTATCCCAGAATAATTTAATTTAATATCTTACTATAAATTCAAACTCATGATTTTCTTTAGAAGTTATTTTCTGCCAAGAAAAATGATAATCTAAAACAAAACTTAGAGAAATAAAGTCACAGGACATTACTGTGACTTTTCAAACAATATTATACTTCATTTTGCTACTCTCAAGGCTGAAAATATACTAACAATAGAGTATATTGTAAATATTTCCTTCTGAAAGGAATTTGGATATTTCAGTTCCATAATGGAAAAAGCTAAGGATGAACATTAAAGATGTTCTTAACTTACAAATAAATTATATTCAGATGATAGAGTCGATAGCTTTAAAACTAGAAACAAAAGTATATGCAATTGTTAGGTTATCAGGTCAATCCACTGAAACTTATTTAGCCCATAATGTAAATAAAAACCTATCCATTTATACATACAAAAATTAGAAAATAATACCACTGTAATGCTATCAATTAAATAAATTATACTACAATAGAAAAAGAAGATTTAATTAGAGAAGAATGAAGTGGTGAAAGATACATGAATATCCAGAAAGAAACTTCTTAGTACATTCAAGCTCTTCGGATATAATAATATTGACCTGTACGTGTTTTAAATGAAAGTTTCTGTATTAAGAGCATCGCCTTGGTATCAGCCTTACAGAGGTTGATCTTGTAGGGTGGGGGCGGAGCAGCTTCCACGCATGGGAGGAGGTGACAGGGGTCGAACACTAGGCAGCAGACTTAGAAAACCAGATGACTGAGAAAATCAGACAGAAGTTGGAACAGAAAAAGAAAGAACGAAAGGAATTAAAGATGGAATACACTACCCTAAGACAGAGATTACTCATTAAAATGAAAAGAAGTGTGAAGAATACAATGTAGGGCAAAGGAAGGGTACACTGCTGTGTCCATGGTCTTCTGAGGAAAGGCAAGAGGACTGGAGGGGAAGGGCCTTATCATACAGGTTTCAGTAAGAACAACTGGGTGATGGTCACGTGGACCCCGGGACACCTGGTGGTTGAGCACAGAGAAGGTTTGAAAAGGCAGCCTCAGAGGTGGTGAGCGCAGTGTGAGTGGCAGAGCCTCAGCCTATCTGTCAGTCTGACAGAGGTAAGACTCTTTGTACCCACTTCATGGGATTGCAGACATACAAATATACAAATAAAAATGATGTTAATAGAAAATTTAAAATCTCATATTGTTAGGAATCACTCATTTATTTTGTGTGAACTTAAATTACTTTTTTGAACCAGAAGTTGCCTCACTACTTCAACTTTTCTTAAGGTACTTTTAAACATTTTTTTTTTTTTTCTGAATGAAGATTTGAAATAAACATTACAGTATAAGTATTAAGGCAATATGAACTTTTAATGTTCTTGCTAAAATTAGTTAATATAAATCCTACTGCAATATATAATGCAAATGGATTTTCAAACCAGACAGATTGATTTTGTAAAGGTTATGCATTTGCATGTGTGCATGTATATGTGTTTGTATACAGAGAAATTGATAAATATATAGAAAGTAAATTTTTTTTTTTTTTATCCTCACCTGAGGACATTTTTTGATATTTTGTTCAGATAGAGAGGGAGGGAGAGAGAGAAACATCGATGTGAAAGGGACACATCGAGTGGCTGCCACCCGCACGACCAACCAGGGCCGGGGACAAACTGCAACCGAGGTACATGCCCTTAGCGGGAACCGAACCCGGGTCTCTCCAGACCGCAGGCCAACGCTCTAACCGCTGAGCCAAACTGGCCAGGGCTAGAAAGTAAATTTTTTAAAAAGCTTTATATGTAGAGCCCTGGCCAGTGAGGCTCAGTTGGTTGGAGCGTTGTCCCATATACCAAGAGGTGGCAGATTTGATTCTGGGTCAGGGCACATACCTAGCTAGGTTGCAGGTTTGATCCTGGGTAGGGGGAGGGATTGCACATGAGAGGCACTTTATCAGTGTTTCTCTGGCACGTCAATGTTCCTCTCTCTCTCTCTCTAAAGTCAATTAAAAAAAGTTTTAAAAAGCTTTATATATATCATAAGTTTGAATCCGATTCATGAAAGTCAGAAAGAACTACATTGCTATACCCTAAAATGAACGAAGCCCACATATTACTTTTTGATATATTTTAAGTGATAAAACTAGACTAGAATTGCATATTAAAATTTCTAGGAAATTGAATAATTAATAGTTTGTTTTTAAGCAATGTCATTTTGAACAGTTTTATTGATACACAATTTACACATCATATAATGTCACTCATTTAAAGTATGCAGTTTAATAGCTTCTACTATATGCACAGAGTTGTGCATCCATCGCCACAATGTTTTCATTTCCCCAAAAAGAAACCCCACACCACTTACCTGTCACCTTCCAATGCCCCAGTCACCAGGACCTAGGCCACTATTAATCTACTTTATGTCTCTATAGATTTAACCTATTTTGCACATTTCATATAAATGGCACCATACCATATTGGTCCTTTGTGTCTGACTTCTTTCACTTAGCACAGTGTTTTTAAGGTTCATCTATGTTGAGGCATGTATCAGACCTTCATTTTGTCTTACTGCCCAATAATATTCCATGTATAAATATACCACATTTTGTTTACACATTAATCAGTTAATGGACATTTGTGTTGTTTATACTTCTATGTAGCTAATATGAATAATGCTGATATGAACATTCATGTACAAGTTTTTATGTGAACATGTTTTAATATCTTTTTGTATATACATAGAAATAACTGGTGAGTTATACAGTAAACTCTGTGTTTAAACATTTGAACTGCCAGGCTGTTTTCCAAAGTGGCTATAGCATTTTAATTTTACATTCTAATCAATAGTGTATAAGGGTTACAATTTCTCCACATTCTCACCAACACCTGTTATTATCTGTCTTTTTCATTATACCTATTTTAGTGTGTGTGAAGCAGTATCTCACTGTGGTTTTAATTTTCATTTTTCTGGTAGGTAGTAATGTTGAGTATCTTTCCAGGGGCTTATTGACCATTTGCATATCCTTTTTTTTTCTTTATTGATTTTAGAGAGGGAGAGAGAAATAGAAACATTAATGAGAGAGAACATCATCTGGCTGCCTCCTGCATGCCCCGCACTGGGGATCGGGCCCACAACCTGGGCATGTGCCCTGACCGGAAATCAAACCGGTGACCTGTTGGTGCCTGGGTTGATGATGCTCAACAGCTGAGCCACACTGGCCAGGCTATTTGCATATTCTTTTTGGAGAAATGTCTATTCAGATCTTTGCTCATTTTTAAACTAAGTTGTCTTTTTATTATTGGGTTGAAATAGTTCTTTACATGATTCTAGAAACAATTTTTTAAATTAGATATATGATTTATAAAAATAGCTTCAGTTCTGAGTTGCCATTTCATTTTCTTGGTCTCTTTTGAAGCACAAAAGTTTTTAAACTGTAACTTAGTTTGTGTATTTTTTCTCTTATTATTTGTATTTTTAGTAAACAGTAGTACTGTGTTTATATGGTAACAATTAGCTTTATTACTTTGGTATCTGAAATGAAATATTTGTTGGGATTTTTAGTATCTGAAATGAACTATCTGTTGGGATTCCACGATAATATTCTTAAATTAGCTCTTTTTTAAAGTGTACTTTAAAGTGAAAGTGAGTAGTTTGATCACAAGTTTGAAATATATATTTTTCATTTGGATGATCACAACAGCCAAACAAATTGCTAATTCTTTTCAAACAAACACATATTTATCATGCACCCAGAGTAAACTCTGAAATAGAGGCATTCTTAGCTCTTTCAAGATAGGGCACTATTAAGAACAAATACCTCTTGTGTGTTATGATGGAAAGGGCTCTATGTATTACTAAACATATAAACAGTCACCTAAAATAGGTGTTATAAAGTGGGGAAAGTAAGCCCAGAACCATTAAGTAACTTGCCCAAGATGCCACAGGTGGGAGAGGGAAGAATTTAACCTCCTGCCAATTAACTTCAATGACTGTGATCATCCTTCGGCAAACCCTGGTGACACAGGTGGCCACCCAGTACTATAAATCTCAGCAGGATTCAAGCACAAAACAGAGGAGCAGTCAAGTCATAATGAGTAAAACTAGCCTCTTTCAGGGTCTTGAGAATAGAGATGCTGCCTGTGTACGAACAAAACTTTGAAAAGAAATACGAGGATGCTAATTAAGAAGAAAACATGCAGTGTCTTCCGCTCGAAGACACGTTGTGAGAGAGCGAGCAGAGTACCTGGACATTGGCGAAGTCGACACGGTTGAGGTCGTTGAGCATCTGGTTGATCTGGGAGGTGTTCTGGAGCACTGCGCGGGCGGCCTGGGCCAGGTGATTGAGCGACGTGTATCTTCGCAGAGTCTGGGCAAAGGCACTTACAGCGGCAACCTGTAAAGAAACCCAATTAAAATGGGATTGTTTTCCCCCTCCAGTAAAAGAAACAACTGCAAATGTTCAAATCTTTATTCCCTTGCCAAATTTTAAATGCCTCCCTCTGATACTTAGTTCAAATTCATTTGGTGAAAGAGCTTACTTGTAAATTATAGCATTTAAATCTCTAAACCAAGTATTATTTTCCTTTTGAGTGGGCTGAGGTCAAGACTAAAACAAACTCCCACATTCTTCGACATCTGAGTGCAGCATTAATTAAACCAGTCTTACAAGTAACAACTCATCCACAGCAAGACATGACTTTCTCTAGGGAAGCAGGAAAATGTTGATTTTCTTTTTTTACCCATGCTGTATAGGACAGTCAACTACAAACTTGGCACATAAAATTTTTTCTTCCATTTACTTGGAAATCCAAACTATGAGTCCTACTTGGAGTCCTACTTTTTAAAATGAATAAAAATATATTTTTTTTCAGAGCACTGTCATTCAGATTCATTCTTATTACCTTTATTTTATAGAAACTTCGGTAATTCTGAGGTGGGACAAAAGTGTTCATAGCCTTTATTAGCAACTATACAGCTAATAAACTTATCAGATATAAGCAACAAGAACTCTTTTTTCAGAATGTAAATTTCTATAAAAGGGCTAGTCAGGAAATCTCCATTTGCCCTTCAAAATCTGCTTTCCGTCCTGATCTAGTCTGCTCTGTGCCCAGGAAGACAGGCCTGAATGTATTCCAGGAACCGCCTCCCTTACACTTTGGCTTCTGGTTGGCTTCCAATGCTCGGCACTGGCAGAAGACTGAAGGATGGGAATAGAGTCGTCAAGTACTTATCCCCACTCTGTCTGCTCTCTCCCTCTGTGACGGAGACTGGTTTCCGTCTCTAAGACCACGGCCCTGTGGCAAGAAGAGGCTCTATCGATGCCATGGCTCCCACCTCTTTCCCCTTCAGACCTAGGGATGCTCAGGACTTCTGTGTCCAGTACCAAGATGCCTTACTCTTCCTTTTCTTAACTCTATTCACACCTTTGGAAATAAACTCTTCTTAAACCCTCTTTACTTATTTTCCCCTTTAGATATACCATTTGTTTCCTGCTGCAACAGTGAATGAACCAGGTTACAAGGAAAGATAGCAAAGATCAATGCCAAAAAAAAGTCTAGGTAAACACCTAAGTCTCATGATCTTATGGAAACTTGTTACATGCACAGTAGATCTAATGAGCATTTAAACATATTTATAGGAAAGTACGGTAGGGCATTAAATCACTATGGATAGAGAAGAAGCAACTGATGAAACAGTCAGTTGGCTGAGTGGTAGAAGGTGTTCACTGGTCTAAGGATGCTCTATTTTGATACTGAGATGTTTTAGGACTATGTGGATCTTGGGGGAAGTTCGCATACCCTCAAAAAAGTCTTACACTTTTTGTCTTACATTTTTCCCCCATAACTGTGGCTTATATTAATCAACTGTGTACTATGTGCCAGGCACTGGTTTAAGTGCCTCAGATATATTACCTTGTTTGCTTCTCATAACCATCCTACAAGACGCATGTTATGACTTAAAGAGATTAAGCAGTTTGCTCAAGGTCACACAGAAACTATATTACAGTGATGGGATATGTATGAACCCGAGTATTTTAATAACAATGGCCAGTTATAATCTCACTATTCTGTTCCCTCTGTCAGGGTAGACTGTCTTCATTAATTGAGTATTCAGCTGAAAAAGTGCTGCACTCCAGGGAGAGAGAAGTAGCAGAAGGTGCCCTCCACTGAGGTGCATCAACCAAACCTGGAGATCAGTGAGGTGACCAATGCTGCGGCTGGATTTCTGCTGCATCCACTCGGGTGACACGGAGAAAGGAGCTGCTGTCAGCTGTCTGACGTACTGTTAGGAATGTGACTGACTCTGCCAGTTGGAAAGCGTCCCTCAGGCCACCATAATCAAAGAGCACCTCCCTTACTCGCCCCCCTCAGTGTGGCACCCCAGAACAGCACTGCCATGAAGAACTTCCTACAATGATGAAAGTGCTGCGCACAGGTGCTGCCTCATTCGGTGCCCACATCCACAGGGTGCTACGGAGACCCGAGTGCAGTTAGGGTGGGAGGCTGCGCATGTGTGGGGGCGGGGGTATCCGGTAAGTCTAACCCTTCTACTACATTTTGCTGTGAACTTAAAACTGCTCTACAAATAAAGTCTATTAGAGTAATAATAATTTTTAAAAAAAGAAATGTAGTTAGTGTGACTGAGAAACTAAGTTTTAATGTAATGTAAAAATCAAATTTAAATAGGCATGTGGCTACCCCTACTGTATTGACAGCGTAGCCATAGAGCAGTGGTTCTCAGCCTTCCTGATGCCGCGACCCTTTGACACAGTTCCTCATGTTGTGGTGACCCCCAGCCATAAAATGATTTTCGTTGCTACTTCATAATTGTAACTTTGCTACTGTTACGTCTTAGACGACCCCTGGGAAAGGGTCATTCGACCCCCAAAGGGGTCGCGACCCACGGGTTGAGAACCGCTGCTCTAGAGCAAAAATATAAGGTGAACTATTAATGAAATGTTTTTTCTGTATGCTTAGAAATGGAAAGTGTTATTGTTAAACTTTAGTCAAAGCAGAAAGAACTTGGAGCTACTTGTGTTTCCAGACTTCTCGGCTACAAGAACATCAAGCTATCAACTATACCCCCAAATTCAAAGATAATGTATGTTGTTGGAGTGTGATGGTGAATATAGTCATTGACAAAAACCTGCAAATGTAATTTTTGGTACCAAAGTTTAGACAAAATGAGTTTGATTCTGTCATGGGGCATATTCACAGATTAACCTAAAGTGACATGGTTAGTCTGGGACAAAGTGGAGACTAGAATTCATATTTCTACATAAAAAATTCACATTCCTGCCCTGGCCGGTTTGGCTCAGCGGTTAGAGCGTCAGCCTGCGGTCCACAGAGACCCGGGTTCGGTTCCCGCTAAGGGCATGTACCTTGGCTGCAGTTTGTACCCCTGGTTGGGTCGTGTGGGTGGCGGCCACTCGATGTGTCCCTTTCACATCGATGTTTCTCTCTCTTCCTCTCTCTCCTTCCCACTCTATCTGAGTAAAAAATGGAAAAATGTCCTCGGGTGAGGATAAAAAAAAAAAAAAAAAAAAAAATTCACATTCCTGATATATACTGATAAATTATGAGAATACTGTTCACTTCAAGAAATAATTACTTGACTCGTAAAAACATTTTCCAGTATTAAAAAACAAAACACCCTAACAAGAATATTAATTTACATGAACTTTCACAATACCATGAGCATATCTGGGGACTTAAAAATTCTAAAACTCCTTTGAATGGGAACTATTTGAACATTCTAGGCTATTCTTTTTAACATTTGAAACTAAGCACAATCTGAAACATATCCTTTAGAAAAGGGCCTATAAATACACCACATTTAAAATGCTTCTCTAGTCTTTCTGAAAGGAGTATTATCAGACATCTCTTGTGCAAGTTCTGTATTACATGGTTATAGAATACAAACAAAAAATCAGTTTTAAAAGTTGAATATTTTATAAAATCAACATTTTACATAATGCCGTTTCATAGAACACACATAAAATTCATAGTCCAGAGTAATTTCCTAAACACAAAAGAAAAAGCAAAGATATAAAAGCGTACCTTGGTTTGTATCATTCTCTGTGGAATATTGTTCATGGCATTAGAAAGCCAACCTTCAAGGCTTTTTGCAAAATTTCGAATGGCTTGGGTCAAGGCACCTAAATGGTAAAGAATAAAAGCAGAACGAAAAAGATACCAAAGAACATTAATCTTTAGGCTAGAATAAGGGAAAACATGTGTGCATGACATATGAAATAGCAAAGACTTACACTGTCCTCACTGATGAGACTTTACTTAACATTATTCCTAACCTTGAAAGCATTCAAGAATCATACTCTGCCCACCCCGCTCCCTTTAAAGCTATTTTGTTCCCAGACACTAACGATACGTGGTTGGGAAATGAAAACATTCAGACATTTCTGCTTATAACAACATATACCAGTTGTGAATATACTTGTGGAATTTTCTATCTTAGACAAAACACTTTTTATTTACAGCTCTGTGCTCAAAGGCTATTTTCCTTATAAGTTCTTCATCTTGATTTTTCAAGTTCTTAATCTATTTTCCTCATTTTTAGTTAAAAAGAGAATAATGCAAAGCTTCCTCTCTTTCTCTGAGCCTCTATTTACATTAGAATCTGTCAGAATAGTTTTCTCTCACTCTTGTTGAAAGGTTTGGTAAAAATTAAAATGTCCTAACTTGAAATTTGGGATAACTATCCTCCATTCCACTTGGCAGGTAAAAGATCAATGTGTGATATCACTGGTGTCACAAAGACCGATACTCCTAAGATATTCCTAAAATGGTCCATTCCATATACTTCATGTGTCTGTTACAATCTGAAGTAGAGATGGGTTCCATGAGAGTAGCTTTTTATGGTGGTCATAAAATGATTGGAAGCATCTTCAATTTTCAGGGATGATTGACTATTTTACAGGAAGGGATCTGTTAACTGAGATTGTTGTATAAATTCTTCTCTTGTTCAACAAGTAATTCAATCAAGAGCATTTTACTTCATCTGTGCCCAAAGTGTAGGGAGCAGTTTTAGACACTTAATAAATATTTGAGGCCTTCACAAAATAAATTTGTGTGGGTTCCCTACTATATGGGTAGGTATTACAACTGGTAGTCTACTATTAAAAACAGAGAAGTTACATTTTTGTCCAAGGTTCCCAAGAATATTAATGTTAATGATGAGATTAAATTTCTTGGGTTATCTTTCTGTGCTCAAATGAATCTAACATGCTTCTCTATTACTCTTGTTAAAGCATAGTTAGACAATTTAGTTTACTCAAGTTTTTTGCAAACGATACACATATTATTAATCCAATAATAAAACAACTATTTTTAAACAATGATTTATTTAACTGGTCCAATGACAAAAGAGAAACTGAAATGGCTAAATTTTGATTAGGACAAACACTTGAGAAGTGCAGACTATTAACCATAAGAATCATCTATTGGAAACACCGAGTTGGAAATTTCTTGAGAACTAAACTTCTGAAATTTCCAAAGCTTCCCACTTTAGCCAAAACAGAAAAAAGAAAGAAAAATATTTTCCTGCTGTATTATGTACTAGAATCATGGAGGGCAGGCATGAATGAAAATGAAAAGGAGTGAAAAAAAATTAACAACGCTTTTTGTAACTCAGTAAACATTTTTTGCAAGATTCAATTTAGCTATCTGTATTTTGCATTTTTCTAAAATTAACATGTAATAACTATTTAATCTAAAACAAAACAAGCCAAGACCAGAAAAAGTTACTTTAAAAAAACTAATGAGTCTTGTTTTATCTAGACAAATTTCATGCTAGGGAGATTAAAAAATAAAAAGATATGTTTTATATGTAAAATGATCTTAAAGGGTTTTAGTTTTTTGTACTAAATGGCATTTTAGGCCAGCTTTAAGTATACCTTATACTTGTACATTAAGTGTTACCAGTTGAGTTCTTATACAATTCTTTGCACTTCACTTTTTTTTTGTTTTCAGATAAATGTATTTTAGAATATAGTGGCTTCAAGCTGACTTTAAATTGTGTGAGATGTAGACTTTTTTTCTGGCTAAAAAAAGGAATCCCATCTGGACAGTAAATGGTAGAGTGAAGAAGTACTAGTAGCCACAAAATACCAATTTAAAAGATAAAGTTATGTTTGCTGTCTCTGTGGGTTCATGTTACATCAAATTGTGCACAATTAACTTTGACAACTGTTCTCATGAATGGATGTTTGAAATTTAAAATCTCTTGCAAAGCTAACTTGTTTCAACCTGCTCATGATCAATATTAAAATGCATACAATCAGAAGATAGCTATCTAGGCTGTATTTTAAGTTTTGCTTTGTTATGTCTTGTTGTAGAGTGGAAATTAAACGTCCAAATTTATTGTATCTTATAACTTCAGAGAAACCATAAAACTATACTTATGTAAAAAGTCCTGAAGTTGAGTTGTCTGCTGAATGTAGAGACAAAGTACTTGACAGAATAAACTGGTTTTAAAATCCCGATTTATAAAAAACAAAGGTCAAATGCACTGTGTATTTAAATGGTGGAGTTAAAGTTAACTAGAATTGATACATGATTTAAGTTAGGAAACTGCTGAATTTATAAGTTAAAGTCTTGTGCGGCTAACATGGAAGCTCAAGATTTTAGAGTTATTTAATGAATACTGATGTTGTTAATTTGCCTCAAAAAAGAAAGTGCTCACCGACATCTCTTCTTATGTCTCATGAGAGAAATTATACATGTGTGGGAAGGTGTCACAGGCTAATAAGCTACCCTATGCAACTTCTCCTAAACATCTCTAGAGATGATAACTTAGAGCACAGGGAGCAAGATGAAAACAAGAAAAATCAGATTCTGAAACATAAGTCAGTAGAGAATTTACATGCTGAAATTTTCCATGACAACATCACTTTTAATCAATCCTTACTCAGGAACATGGTGCAGATAGAGTAGAAAACATTAGCAGTTAATAAAAATGTGAGACAGTGGCAGCTGGATCTTCAAAAAATGAATTTCTATACAGATGTACGTGTATTCATTGATATTACATGTGAGCGTGTATCTAAGCATACCTTTTAAGGTGGCGAGGAACATATGAAATAACTCATATCTTCCACTGTTATCTATCATATTTAGAAAAAAGTAAGTATAAACATACAAATGTTAATTTCTTCACCTTTTGTTCTACTAAATCCCTACTTAAATATTGTCTGGAATAATTTAACATAAATCACCTGTGAATGGTGTACCTGAAGTACATGGTTGCCAATTTCATAAGCTACGAGACTGATTTTACCTTATTAATGTCACTTTAGAGTGGAAATTCTGTCCCCAGTTTTTAAAATTAAGGTCACCAGTATGTGCTCATAAAGATATAAGCACAAAATCATTCCAACTGCCTCTAACACAAGTATCCATAGTGGCATTTGTATGGACACTTGCAGAAAATAGCTTTGTTTGCTACAAGATAGTATTAAAAAGCAATCACCACTTAACAAAGTAAGCTAACTTATCCATGTAATTCCTGTTTGCTTCATGGTGGGAATAAAATGCTTGTGTAGTTACATAAATTTTTCTCTTAAAATGCCAGTTAACTATTTCTGTTAAATGGAAACGGCATTTGTAGTTCTGAACATGATGTAGGCGACAAAGTAAATGCCTTTAGAAAGGAATTCAACTTCAGTGGAAACCAAGAAAAATTCATTTCAAATCAAAAGCAACTATGAAAGAGGCTGGCCTAGCAATTATAGATTTGAAAACAATTTGGCTTTAGGAAGGAAACTGTGTCCTTGGGTAGGGTGATTTTTACCCTTTGACAGGCCTGGGAGTGTTCTTGCGATCAGTCAGTCATTAGGCTGTCACATCCATAGGTGAGCTTTTCTTTCAGAAAGAAAACTACCAAAGATTGAAAAACAGATCATTGTTCCCCTTTTACTAGAGTTCTGCTCTAGGCTGCTTTCAGGCAATACTCTGTTGCATGTTTTCTGTGTGGCAAATCTAAATGAGATTAGAATCCCTCCAGATTGCAATGTCACTTCCCGAAACTTCCTGGGTGGAATGTATGAGAACAAAAGCATCCGTATTTGTCTGCATTTAACTTACTAGGAATAGGTCTAAGGACGTCGGGGATGAGAATCTCCACCAAAGCCTGGTACATCCCATGGTCACAGTTACACATCCATTTCAGGATAGACTCATGTTTGCACAGAGTTATCAGCTTTGCTTTCGGAAGTCGACTTTCTATTTCACTCAGATTGCTGGTGTGAATAAATGTAGCAAATGAATAGATGGCAAATGAGGATAAAAAAGAAAATGGACTTTAAAAATAGTTTTAGTTTATCAAATATTACTGAGGTTAGAACTATACCACCACTGCACTGGTGCCATACGGCTGGATATAGATAACATTCCCCCAGAGCTGCCTATGCACGTTAATACTTTCTGACGGTATGAAAGGCAAATATGATACTAATTCTATGAGGATGAAATAGCTCTACCGCAGTCCCCCGATTCAATAAAATGGGAGCTATAATATACACGCTGAAACCTCAAGAGAGCAGTTTGTGCTTTATTTCAATCTAGTCATTTAATGTTATCAGGTAGGGTTCACAACTGGTATACATAGCTCTAATTTATTAGCTGTGGCATCTACTCAGCCATGAAAATGAATTGGGAAAGCTTATTGATTCTGACCTTGATTCAGTAATGGTAGTGCCGTCGGTTGGAGTAGAGGGAGAATAGCGCCAGAATGTTTGCCACAATTTTTCTATCAGGCTAAACTGAAGATTCACAACGACGTCCAATATTGCCTAAAAAACAAAATGGTTATTGGTGTACTTTCCAATAGTTCTTATGGGGAGGTGTGAAGAGCACACAATGTAACAGGAATTAAATGTAAAGATACCTTTGGGTTCATAAGTTAATATGGTAAAACTGGACTAAATTGGGCCAATGGAAGTAGGGGAACAAAAGAGATCAGCTAGGAAAAAAAAAAGGAAAAACAACTCAATAGATTAGGCAGGATGCCTTGGATCCCTGCCGTAATGGTCTCATACCTCACCCTCACTTTCAACACCGCCCCTTACCACCCCACCACATCATCATGTTTGCTTCCCTTCTTCTCTATTTTCTTCTCTTGCTTTTTCTTCTACTCTTTCTCCCACTGCTTCACTCTGCCTCCAGAGTTGCTGCCAGTCTTCCTACCCCTAGAGCCGAGGGCACAGAACATGCCTTCCATTCTCATCAGTCCTCACTGAGCGAGGTGTGTCCACTGGCCCTCAAAGAGGCCAGAAGTGAAGGGTGTAGGGCTGCTTGTGTGTGGCAGACAGAGTTAAGGCTAGATTTGCTCTGTCTAAGGCTGCTGGCCATGGGTTCCAGAGTGTTCCCAGATAAGCAGAGGCGGAGTCATAAACTACAGAGACAGGAGGCCTCCGATGACAGCACCTGTCTGGGCAGAGTGAGAGCACAGCAGGCACCTCCCTTTGGTCTTGCGGGGCCTCCCATTTAACCCTGTCTCTGCACATGCCCTGTAGAAATCAGCTTTAAGAACACCCCCTCTTCCAATCTTGGGTCCAGGGCTTCACTTTCTCCTGCTCCTTAATTGTTTCTCCTAGAACCATTATCCAGCTACGTCAAGGACTTTGGAGGATGCTAAAATTTGCCACGTTCATCAACTTTAAAAAAAACTTTATTGTGAGTCTTCATCATATTTAGTTTCAGACTGCCCTTGCAATTAGTTAATAAATTCACCTTCAGATAATAGCAGTCATAAAACCAAAGAATAACTTGTTTGTGCAAAGAACATGTGATTCTGTAATTATTTTGAGCATAAAAGATAGAAGTTGTTAGTACAATGTGTTTGAGGCCCTCAGCATGGAGAACGAGGACAGGTGAAACATCCCAGGCAAGATCTACGGAATTCACAGAGGCAGAGCGACAACAGGGGACCACTGAGAGAGTCAATCTGAGGATTTTAGGTAAAAAGAGGACAACGTAACATCATAATTGTCATCATTCTAGAGTCTGTGCTACCTGTGTAGACTGGCCTTAGGCATGATCTACACAGAAACTCTGAGAACAATTCAAATATTGAGCCAAATCTGTTTGGGACATATTTCGGGAACTAGTAGAAAAAACTGCAAGTAGTTGTAATAAAAATAGAGGGAAGGGGGCAAATTAATTAACATACTCTTCACACTTTTATATCAGCAACAATAAAAATGCAAGTGCAAGCCATGAAAGTAAAGGGCACACAGATGTCCCTCCTCCAGGCAAAAACTAAAACCTTCTCAAGAGGCAAGTTACTATAGCTGCTTTCTCAACTGTAGCTTAGGCACATTCCAAGAGACATCTATAAATGGAGCAACTATTACTCTCTTACATGATACCTTACATATTTCTGCCTATGAGATTGCTTGCTATAAGAACATTATGTGGTCCAGCTGGTGTGGCTCAGTAGTTGAGCGTCAACCCATGCACCAAGAGGTCACTGGTTCGATTCCCGGTCAGGACACATGCCCAGGTTGTAGGCCCAATCCCCAGTGGGGGGCATGCAGGAGGCAGCCAACAGATGTTCTCTCTCATGGATGTTTCTATCTCTCTCTCCCTGTCCCTTCCTCTCTCTAATAATCAATAAAAGAAGAAGAAAAAAAAGAACATTATGTGTATGTTAAAAGAAAAAAATTAGTGTTGCAGCATCCTGTGTAGAAAATTATACTTGCTCCTTACCTAAAACCAGTGATACAAAATATCTTTGCTAAACAAATTGGAGAATTTCAAATAACAGGCAAAATAGGTATATTAATCTTTCTTTAAAAAACAAACCGTGGGAAACCTGATATAAAATAAAGCAAGAAATTCAGTGCATCTAAAATCTAGTAACTTTTCAAATTAAATAACTTCTCATTCTTTCTAAAAGGACACTCTAGCCCTGGCTGGTTTTGCTCAGTGGTTAGAGCGTCGGCCTGTGGTCCAGAGAGACCCGGGTTCGGTTCCCGCTAAGGGCACGTACCTCGGTTGCAGTTTGTCCCCGGCCCTGGTTGGGTTGTGTAGGAGGCAGCCACTCGATGTGTCCCTTTCACGTTGATGTTTCTCTCTCTCTCTGTCTTCCTCTCTCTCCCTCCCACTCTATCTAAACAAAAATGGAAAAATGGCCTCGGATGAGGATAAAAAGAAAAAAATAAATAAATAAAAATAGTAAAAGGACACTATGCAGCAGCCTCTTGAGGCAGTTTTACAAATGAATAGAACATTTATCTTTTGTCTATTCACCCACTTTCAAATATGTTCATATTAATACACAAATATATTTTAAAATAATCCATATTCTATTGGCTTAGAGCAAATGACTCACGTATCTGTACTTCAAAAGTTTGGAAGTGTCACAGAAAAAAAAAAGGATTCTTCTTTTTCCTATTTGCTCCTATACCCTATGAGAGATGGCCTGAATTCTGGTAACTTTGAAATAAATAGGGCTCATTCTATGGACTGCCATTTTCCACACAGGTTAATTATCATTCATGTCTATCTCTCTTCGTATAGAGTAATCCTGAAAATTGGAATTTTAATGAAATTTCGGAATCCAAAGAATATTTCCATCATATTGGGGGAGTATTACATGGAGAATAATCTTACTGTACATTCTTTAGTAATGTATATAATCATGCTGCAAGTTATATTTTGCATATGTATGAGAAACTTAAAGAAATCCAGATTGTATTTGTGTAGACTGGTTTGCTTAAAGCAAGGTTCAAAGAACACAGAGAAATAAGAATTTGTGGAGAGAATCTTTCTATAAATCTTTATTGAATACCTGCATATATGATATTCATGTAAAAAGAAAGAAACTTTTTCTAGATACATAAGTATCATCCAGAAATTCTCTAATATTGGGAAAAGAACAGTAGTCAAAGAGAAACAAATATTAAGTGTCTTTTATCATTCCAAGAAATGTTGGGGACAGCCTAGCAGATATGTTGAAGAACACTGTGGCACAGATTTGTTAATAAAGAGAGAGCCTGCCCTTGGTTGTTAATAATCTAGCATCCTTGACAAGCACTCGGATTTATTCAAGCAGTTCTTATTTCTGCAGTGGGAAAAATACGTGAATGCTGTGGACTGAGACTTCTCACTTTATACTGCATTGTCAGCAGTCCGGAGGACTGCCTGTGGAATCCAAAGGATTATCTTTTACTTCTAAGTAAATCACAAATAGCCCTGGAATAAATCTACTTAAATTCTACACAGACTCTTCTTTCAAAAGGAAAGGCACGTATGAAAATTCTTATTGTAATCCATCATTCCCCTGGTACCAGGTGAGCTACAAGTATATTAACATGCTGGCTTGGAGAAAGTTCACCTCCTAGAGACCATGCAGCCAATTCTGATGTGGGATACTCAAAAAAGAAGTAGGAGTAAGGATGGAAAATACCAAGAGAAACCTTAATTACCACAAAAACAAACAAAACTGGAGCCTCAATGATAACTAGAAGGAATACCTAAAGTACTTTATTAAACATTTCCAGGAAATATTTTTGATAGAAATACATACTTATGGTATAAAATTCAAAGGGTAAAATAAAGTGTATTGAAAAATTAGAGCTCTTCTTCTTGTCTCCTAGTCACCCAGTTTCTTTTATAAAGGCAACCACCAATAACATTTTCATGTTTGTTCTTCAGGAGAGAAGTATATATACATGTGTTTTTCATTCAAATGATAGTATGCTATACACACTGTTTTGCATCTTGCTTTTTCCCTTTGAAAATAAATCCTACATTTATTCCATATCAGCACATTTAGAGTTGCCTGTTCTTTTTAATGGCTGTATAATATTTCTACTTTATAGAGTGCACTATGTTTTGCTTATTCAGTTCCCTACTATATTTTGAAGTTATAACCAATATTTTTCATTGCAAACAAAAATGCAGCAAGTTCCCTTGTATATGTCTTCTTCCATATGTAAACAATTTTCTAGGCTTAAAAACCTAGAATGGGAATTGCTACATCAAAGGATTCATATGAGGCCTGGCTGGTGTAGCTCAATGGATTAAGCGTCACCCACGGACTAAGAGGTCCTGGTTCAATTCCTGGTCAGGGCACATGCCCAGGTTGTGGGCTCAATCCCAAGTAGGGGGCATGCAGGAGGCAACCAATCGATGTATCTCTCTCACACTGATGTGTCTATCACTCTCTCACTTTCTCTCTAATAAAATCAATAAAAAACATTTTTTTAAAAAAAGCATTCATATTATGATGGGCCAAGAAAATGTACAATAAAATTTATTCTCCCTTACTGTATTCCTCATCACTTCTCCACTCTGAGACAAGAAGAAAAATTAACTTATTAGTGCTCAAAGAAATGTGAACTAACTTCATATGTATGCTAGGCATAAGTTATTATTTTGTTTTAGTAAATTATCTAGCAAAACTTAGTATGTGGTTGTACTCTGTTTGAAAAGACTTACCTCACAGTGCTCTCTATAAAGACTCTGTAGTGACTTGATATCCTCAAAGGTAGTACCATCTGGCAGAGAAGAGATTTCAACTTCTCCAAACTCTGGAAGTGCTCGAGATGCATCTGTTACCATGACAACACAATAGAAAAAAAAAAAAGCTTTGTGGATGGTGTCAAGACCAGAGGTCCAAACAGCAAAGATTGTTGATATTAGTATTTGCAAGCAAAACTTAGCAATATCATCAGCACAAAAAAGTAGAGGGAACATAAAAACTTTGGAGAAACTAAATTTTCAATATGACTATACTAGAAATAACATATCACAGTGTCTCTAATATAGGGCCCCTATTTTAAAAAGTAGATCTCTAGTTGGCCAGTATCAGTTTTGGTTATTTTTTACTATTATGTTATTTAAGTATGTAAAAAATAAAGCTAGCTTTAAACTCATTATGCTCAAACTTCTTATATAATTATAAACCACAAAGCTACAAAATAAACACAAAAGCTACAAAAATAACATTAAACTTAATGACATTAACTTGATAGGATGGATGATGCTGTTGTCCTGTACGTAAATCACTCTCTCCACAGGAATACGGTACTGACTGCTGACAGGCCTATACCAACCTTTACTTCCAAGTGCAGTATCTCCCACTACTCTTCTACATTCAGATGAGCTGTGAAACTTCCCTCCTCACAGAGCTCTAGGACAGCGTTTGGCCTTCCCTTGGGATGAAGGTGTAATTTACACAGTAAGTCTCTCTCTGTTCTTTTCTCATTAGCTCTGGACAATTAATGCAATACACTTTGGCACCGGCCTCCTCATAAATTCAAATACAAATGTGGAAACTAAAATTGCAGAACAGTATTCCTTCTAGTCTTCTATCCAGAATGTGCTTTTTAAAAAAATTATTATAATTGAAATAAAAAAAAATATTCTTGAGAGCTCAAAGGTCCACAAGAGTATACCTGAGGACTTTAGTTTGGGAAATGATGCCATAATATTTCTACTTCTCAGACTTGCTTGCTCAGGACGTGCACATAGACACATATACACACACAGACACACACACACACACACACTCTCTGACAGCTTCCACTTCTGTTTGGCCTATTGTAAGGAAACTACGCATGTCCATCTCTAAAAGAGCTGTTGGTGCAATTAAAGTGCCACTTTTGCACCCTTGGCTATGACAGGAATATGCAAAATGACCAAGTTCCACTTCCTAACTCTTTAAATAAAAAGAAACATGCATACCATCTACAAAAAGTTTTTTTTAAAGGAAGTACTGTGATCAACTTAAAAGAATAAATTACTTTAAAAAAGTGTATAACTTTTTCTAATCTGAGGCTGTATGCATATGTAACTTTATACATAGAAAATAATTCTTTTTAGTACTTAAGTTACTACTGAAAGTAAACATAACACAATTTTGATCATAAAAGCCCAATTAATACAAATTCTGAAAAACAATTGCACAGCAAATAGCCTTAATTTATATACATTGAAAAGTCCTACCTAGGTCAAGAGTTTCAGAAATAAGCTATAGCGAACATGAGGAAATATAAACGAACTAGAAATATCATGATGTGCATAGTTTCAGCACAAAAAATGTCTTTCTATGTAATTAACATCTATAATAGAAATTGCACTTGGACAAAACACTACTATTGTTCTCGTTTTCAAAATCCTAAAAGCAACTAATATGCATTACACCTTAACATACCTAAAAACTGTTGATGATGTTGACTTTGGGCAATTACAGTTTGCTCAACAGATGTGCCTGTCTGTTGACCACTTCCTGTGAAACCATCTGCAACCCCATCCACTTTCTGCATAGGCTTGTACCTAAAAATATTAGATGGGAAAAAACAAACCAAATTATTCCTTGCTTTTTTGTACTATACAAAACTCCCAAGGCATTCAATTTTATTCTATCTTATTTAATGTCTCATGATAGTTGTAGGATTTTTTTCCCTTGACAGTTTCATAAAGCTAAAATGAAGAAATGTCTCAATTGTGAAAAGAAAACAGGGGGAGGGGATACGAAGAGGACCCATTTTTGAATATTCAGAAATCTACCTAAGAATGAAAGCGTTAAGCGGTATTTCCTTGGACACCAGCAGCAAAGACCTTCAGGGTTATAGTTTTAATGGTTTGAACATAACTTTTAATGGCCAATGGATCAACGGAGAAATACTTGAAATATATTGGGATTTTAATCTGAACTAAGATCTAGGAGCTAGGGCCTGAGAAATGCTGATGAATGGCTTTCACTTAATATCTCTAAAATATGAATCAGCCTACAAACTCTACCATATCATTTTCATATCTCCTAAAACCTCCCATGCATCTCAACACATTCATCTCCCTTCACTCCTCTCCACATCTGCAAACAAACACCCTAAGCATCAGCCTGTAGCAAGAATCCATCTACAAACCTAGTTTACCAAATTAAAAAAAAATCAAAGTCACTACAGTTATGTATTTTTTTAAAATCCTCATCTGAGGATATTTTTCCACTTATCTTCAGACAGAACGAGAAAGAGAGCAAGAGAGAGAGGGAGAGAGAGACGGGCTGCCTCCCACCCGACCACGGCCTGGGACAAACCACAGCCGAGGTACGTGCCCCTGACAGAAATTGAACTCGTGACTCTTTGGTCCACGAGCTCGACACTCTAACCGTGGAGCCAAACCAGCCAGGGCTACAGTTATGTATTTATCTTTAGGTCCTAGTCATACACACTCATAAATTTCCCATACTGCTAAGAAAGAAAAAATGTGTTCCAGCAGCATGCGCAGGAAGAAGCCTGCTTGGAAGAGAAATACAACATCCAGAAAACAAACCCAAATAAAACAAAAACTTGGGCAACCCTCCTAGGATAAACAAATATAAAATGAGAAATAAGCAGCAACTATAATTTTTTCTTTTTCTAAGGTTTTTTTCTTTTTCTTAAGATTTAACTTATTTTCCTTCATTTTATAAATTTAGAAAAAAATTGAAATCTACAGTAAGCTTATGTCATTCACTTTAGGATGTCTGTCCTTCCATCCCCCCCACACTTCTAATTATATTTATAAATAAAACCATCTAATATTCTCACCATCCAGACACTTGACTCTTACATTAATACCATAAGGCACTGGATCATTAATATGAATTACTGTGAATAACAATATCCCTAATACATGAACAGGACATACTCAAAGATGCCTGCACCCTGATAGCAGATATAGAATGAATGGACCTGGTGAAACATCGTATAAACTAATGCTCTGGTTGACTTAAGGAATGATTCGATCTTGAATGTTATTAATTATAACAGATAAATGAAACTTCCAAAAAATTGCTATCACTTATAATGACATTTACATTTATTTCTAGTACGACAAAAAAAAAAAAAAATCAGAAGGTGAACAGAGTGAAAAAAGGGTCCAACACACTTTATTCTTGTTATCACTTTAATGAGGACCCCACATCACCGAAATGGTGGCTGCTATTTTCTGATGATATAAGAAACTCAAATGTATTATTTCATTTAATGGAGAAACCACATGAAAGTACTTTTCTTTTTTTTTTTATCCTCACCAGAGGATATTTTTCCATTTTTTGTACAGATAGAGTGGGAGGGAGAGAGAGGAAGGGAGAGAGAGAGAGAAACATCGATGTGAAAGGGACACATCAAGTGGCTGCCACCCGCACGACCAACCAGGGCCGGGGACAAACTGCAACCGAAGTACGTGCCCTTAGCGGGAACCGAACCCGGGTCTCTCCGGACCGCAGGCCGACGCTCTAACCGCTGAGCCAAACTGGCCAGGGCTGAAAGTACTTTTCAATTGGGTCATACCAAGAGATGGCAGAAGGGTTGGTATTGTGATGTTCTAGAAATGCTGCTTATGAAAAATTGAGTATTTTCTCATTTTTCTCCTTAAAAATCATCTTAGTGAGGCAAAAAAACTTTGTGAGGCAAGTACTTTGAGTACTTGTGTGGGGGAGTTACTAACCATTCTGCTCTAGAAAATTTGAATGATTTTATCTTTAGTAAACACATTTAGCAAAGTTTCTTGTCCTTATTGATCCATTCCGGGTTTCACTTGATTTTAGCCTCCCTTTCCCAGCTATGAAATTTTATACCACCAATAAAATAGGCTAAAATTGTTTGACCATGTTTCTTCAATTAAGTTAATGAAATATGGCATTCATGGAGTTAATAAACAAAAGTGGTTAAAGGAATTTGAATTATTTGTGCTGAAGAAGAGAAAACAGCAATTATGAGACTTTGCCAAGGTACACTTTATCAAATTTCCTTTGTCCTTCACAATATCTAGTATACTACAGATGTTTAATGGGCACAGATATCAAGGACAAGTGGAATTTCGCCATAAAAGGAAATGACATCTTTCTCTCAGACTGTAAGCTTTCAAAGAGGATGGATGCCATGTCACAACCTTCTTGCACACAGTGCTTAGCAAGCTGCAGTCTACAAACAAAATTATCTCCTTCCTTAGAAAAATGTTGACAGTGAATGTTCCTAAAAGAAAGAGATTATATTTGTAACAAGCACTCAAAATCATAATACATTATAATTAATGTATGATTATGCTTAGTGATAATGATATTGAGTGAGAAGTACTGATTATAGGTACACTACATTACACAGCAGATGGAAAATGTATCAATATTAGCTTGTAGTGAAAAAAAATCAGTTGGTAAACTCTGGAGAAAGGGTGCAGGTTAGTACTTAAAACACAAATCTTATATAGGAGAGGTAAAGAAAAAAAAAGAAAATAGAACTGAGAAATGAGTGTTTTTATTCTAACCGTATAATTAAGGGTAGCAAAGTAAAGAGTGAATTAAATGAATTAGGCAAAGATGCACTACTTGTATCCATTCTTGGTTGTCCTGTCAATAGGACCTTTATCAATCAGAATCTTAAGTTGTTCCTCCTCAGAGAAAGGTGTGGGAACAAGTTTGGGAGGGGTCTACGGCATAAGGAATTACATCAGGAAGCACATGAATATGGCTCATGGACAAGAGCAGTATCATTGAGAGCTAAATATGAGAGAGCTTCCAAGTAGTGCTAAGTTTCGCTTTTCCTGCTTTGTTTGACCTACTAAATCATGAGGTAGTACAATGTATTGCCTGGCATTGATTGCACTGGTATTCAGAAGGAATCCCCAGAAATCACAAATATTGAACTGGGGAAAGCTAGATGTTCATTTTCCAGATGCTCTAAGAAAAACATCTATTCCTACCAGTACCTCAGAGGGTTGGGTCTTCCCAGAGAAGGTTGGAGTATAACAGGAAGTCAGGAATTGGAACATTAAAAATAGGCTAAATAAATATTTGTGGTAACTGATTCTGCTTGGAAGAAACAGCTATAGATATTATATTAGGTATGTCATTATCTGGGTAGAGTTCCATAAATTTCAAATGCAAGGCTCACCCTAGGTCTACCCAACAAAATCTTTGAGAACGAGATTTAGAAATTGATTATTTTAACAAGTTCTGAGATATCTCTTAAGGAGCCTGCACAACACTACTCCATAGGATCATCTTGGCCTGATATAAATTCCTTCAGCCCACTGTTGAAGTTAATCCCTAACATTAGAGACAAGCCATATTTTATCTGTGTGTTATTTTTGTTAATCCTTACCCAAGGATATTTTTTAAATTGATTTTTTTTTTTTTTGGAGAGAGACAGAAGCATTGATGTGAGAGAGACACATCGATTGGTTGCCCTTCTGCATGTGCACTTGACTGGGAATCAAACCCATGACCCTTTGGTGCACTGGTCGATGCTCCAACCACTGAACCACACTGGCCAGTACAACACAAGTCATTTTTATAAATGTAATCAATTTTCAATTTTTAAAAAAAAACTACATTTGGAATGTAAGTAAATATCTCTGAATGTATGATAGATGGGTGAATGAATAAATGCTTAGAGTAACATTTCACTTTATCATAGTATTAACTGATCTTAACATATATCAAATTAATGAAACAAAAATTGAGCATTTACTATAAGCACAGTGCTTAGGGGTACAGATTTGAAAAGGCTGTGTATAAATAGGATTTTTCCAGCATGGGTTTTTATATCCTTTTGATTTACATGATAATCCAACATTCTCTTAACTCTGGTTGAATTTCAATTAACATCTTAGAACTGAAACACCATTTTCAGATTTCCTGACTTTCTACCTTCTTCATAAAATAATCACTATTTAAATACTAAATTGTTAAAACCAGAAGTACTTTCTACTGAAAATTTTTTTGTTGAATCCTTTAAAAAATTGAACTCGCTCCCATTCCCCATTTATTTTACAAATGTATTATTTTTAGACCAGGCTTTCTTATAGCAGATTCTTAGCTCTCCTGTGTGCTCTGAGAAAGACCTATGTTGCATCTAATGAAGAAACAGTTCCTGGTTTCAAAATTATTAAGAGGCAAATGATAATTTTAACAGCTTGCAACTCCATGGGCAATCAGAGCTAAAGTTGTTAATGATTAAGAAATCAAAGAAACTCTAATGCTTTAATAGCTGAGTGTATGCATGAAACCTGTCACTAACACAGAAAACTGGGAAAAATTATTAGGAATCTTCCCCCATGGGGTTAGTCATAGCTGTTATTTAGAACTTGGACAGCTGTAATTCTACTGTAAAATAATATCTAATTCTGTCAATAATCTCACATGTACAGACACTGAAGGAGTTCAAAGGAAGACAAAAAATGGTATATTTACCATTCTATTCAATGGAGAGTACCAGGTGGAAGGACTTTCAACAGACTAAAATGGAACATTTGGAAAAGCCCCTTTGAAGTAAGTGAAAAATGCAAATACA